ACAAAGAGATGAAGGGAATGGCGGAGGCAAATGTATGACCAGAGAAGAGAACAACGGGAGAAGAATTAGAGACAATAAAGGTAGACCGATCTTCCAAGGAGTTTTCCATAAAAGTGGCAAGAAATGGGACAGCCGGTGAGAGATGTGCAGTTGAATGACTTTTTATTTTAGGAAGAAATGACAGTATGTGAGTTGTGGTAGCAATGACAGATGGCAGAAAAGTTGCTGGTGGAGGAGAAAGAATGGGTGTGCCCAGCATGAGCTGTGAAGGGGTCCCTTAGGACAAGTGGAGCGCCTGCCCTTGGACAGGGATATGGATGTTCATCCACAGTAATAGGGAAAGGTCGAACGTGTGGTCTCAGAACCTAGAGGTTGGAGTTAGTGGAGATTCTTTTCTAGATGCTTCTATTTTCTCAGGAAAATGAGAAAGTCTTGAGCAGACCAAGAGGAGGATGGTAGCAGCCATCTAGTGGAGGGAGAGTGAACGAAGAGGGAAAGGGAATTGCCAGCTACACTGAGGGCCCGCTTGAACTTACGATGTGTCAGTGGGGGGGTGTGGTTGTGTGCTTGCACGCATGTGTGGTTTTTGTTTTTTCTTTTTTTACCAACCCAATTCAACTGCAGGTGCAGGCACAGAGTAAGCTAAGGGCTGGATTAGTCAGCACTGAGGTTTTACCAGGGCACTCTGACAAAGTAAGGAGAGTGCCAAGGGAGATGAGGATGCACAGAAAGGAATTTTAATTTAATGATTGACAATAACTTTTTTTTCCCCAACTGTTTATTAGAAAATTTTCAAGTGAACAGGAAAGTGGGAAAAGCAATCACCCCTCCTCTTCCCCTTTGGAAGAGACCAGGTCAGTGGTTTTTATCAGAGATCCCACATGCTGAGCTTCTCTGATGGTTTCATCATGGTGTCATTTAATATAGACCTCTATTCTTTGTATTTCTTATAAACTGAAAATTAGGTCTAATGGCTCAATTAGATTCAAGTTACACATTTTATAGTAATAATGGTGGCACAAGGCACTTCATATCACATCACATCAGGAGACGAGAAATGGGCTGTCTCATGAGAAGCAATGCTCAATTTTAAAAATTCATGATAGAACATGTACATGGGCAGACAAGGGAGGGAGAAACAGAGAGAACACAAGCACAAATCACCCTCCCCAGGGCTTGGTCACACCGCAATCCCCTTTCTCTAGTTCTGCAGCCTGCCCGGATCCTGGGCACAGGCACACAGGCCTCGCAGCATGTTTTCAGGCTGACTGGGTGGGGCTGAAACCCTGGTCAGCATGTGGCTTCCAGCTCCACAATTTGGTACACTGCTGAATGCACCACAGAGGCTGGGCCAGCAGAGCTGAGTTCGATCAGTCAGGTTGGTTACGTCAGCTCTCTCTATTAACAAAGATTGCTTGTCTCTTGCAGTAACCCTAGAATTTAAGCTGGGTGGATGAGAATATTACAGGAAAGCCAAAGACTGGGAATAGGTGATAGGAACGTAAGTCTGGTGTAGGACAGGGCATAAAGCAAGTGGTTTTATATATTTGGTACCAGTTATTCCATGATTGTCTCCTCTGTGTTTCTAGCTCTGATCCATTTTGAACTCAGCCACAGGTGTCTGAGTCGTTTAAACTCAGAAGTTAGGTGGATCCCTCCTTCCCACCAAAGAGCTCACTTCCTGGCTTCTCTTCACTTGGAACTGATATTAGGATTGTCATTTTTGGAGATGTCTTTTGACTTGAGTTGTGTTTAAAGAAGCATAATGACCCCAGTGACCAGATACCTTACACTGCCCACTGTCCCTTCTGAGCCTGGGGATGTAGTTGGTCTCACAGGGATGGGAAATGCTCACTTTCCTAAACCAGCAGCGCATATAACGTTTCCCTCGACCAGTGGTACAGGCCAGCCCTGTGTTGACTGCCGGAAAGAGCTCTGAACTGGAGTCCCCAAACTTCTCTTCTACACTTTCCTGATTTACTCTGCTTAGATAAACCCAGCTTAATTGTACTAAGTGCTCTTGTTCTAAATGACTCTTCTGTGGCTGGTAGCACCTCTTGATTGGCTTTGTCCTAACGAATGGCTCTTCTGTGGCTGGGCTGCTTGATTGGCTTTGTCCCTTGCCAGGTTTGAGCCTTGGATTCAAAATAGCTGAGATATTGGCGCCCTCTAAAGGACATTTCTATTATAGAAGCTAGTTCTTTATTAACTAGAGAATGAACATTTAACTGGGTTTGTTTTCCATTTGGAGTTTCTTATTCCCTCTTTTTCAAATTGACTAGTAATTCCTTAAAATAAATAAATAAATAAATAAATAAATAAATAAATAAATAAATAAATAAAAACCAGGCAATAAATAAATAAATAAATAAATAAATAAATAAATAAATAAATAAATAAATAAATAAATAAATAAATAAATAAATAAATAAATAAATAAATAAATAAATAAATAAATAAAAACCAGGCCAGTATGATTAATGTAGTGTACAGAAGCCCTACAGGTCAGAGCAGGAAAGTAGTTTTCCAATTGGCCTTTATTATTTAAAAATTTAGATGTGAGTTTGTGAACAAACTTACTTTTGGCTTTAATTGCACAATGAGAGGGGGGAAAGTAATAAAAAGCTTTAATTTTCAAATATGTTAATTGGAAAGATTGTCAGTCCCTCCTCTAGTATGATTTTTCCCTATGGGACTGAATTTGAACTTTTTATCAATCAAGTTAATTCCCTGGAATACAACTTGTGTTTTTGTTTTTGTTGCCAGGAAGAGGAAAATTATCCCAAACTCAGGAGCATTTGAGGACTATTATCTGGAATCAAATAAAAAAAATATTCGATTTCACAGATAGTGTTTTGATTTGAAAGTAGAAGTTTTCTTCCTAACATAAATGCTAAGTAAATAAGTTGCTTATATCATAATAATTCTGTTTTTATTTCTTGGCGCTGCCATTATTTTAGGGCTTGCCTTTAAAGTGCAGGTAGAACTACGGAATCCATCGCAAACCTAACAGTTTGACTCCCTCAGCCCGTAGCCTAAACTATTCAGCCAGAGCAGAACTCTTTTGGCCTCACGTCTTCTGTGGGAATGTGTGTGGGTGGCCATTTCCTGAACAACCTCGCTGAGGGGAAGTCATGCTTCCAGGGGCCAACTGTCACCTTCGAGAAGGAGGAACACATGTTAAGACAGCCTCTCCAGGGCAGTAAAGAACCAGTTACATAGACTATAGTCATCTCACGCTCAGTCTTTGAGAGTTATGTGTTCTGACAACCTCCATGATAGAGTTTGCAATTGCGAACACTTCAGTGCAGAAATGGGGAGGGAGAACCAAACTTGCAGTGAATACATGAAAACTTGCTTAAATAGTAAGTTCACCAAAATAAAAACGAATCACAATATCGGAGATAAAGGTAACACTAAAAACTTTGTGCACTTTGAATTTGCACTATTGGGCACTGTACATATTATACTATTGCATGGGTTGCCACATCCTATGTCATGGGAGATCCCAGTGGCCCTGGGTTGAATGAAAGCCCCTTGATGAATCGTGATAGGATGAGGAGCTCCAACACAGCTGCTCTTACCACCACAGTGAGCCTTCTTAGCTCCCCCAGCTCAGCCCTGGCCAGGCCCAGGTTCAAAGAAATGCCCTAGAAGATATCCTTTATTCCCAGAGTAAATCCCACCAGAGGGGCCAGCCCTGATTAGAGATTCCAGGAAGTGGGAGGTACTAGGCAGAATTACTGCTTCTAGACTAATAAAGTATGAGTTCAGTAATTCCAACAACTCCCAACTCCGTGGCTCACTCTTGCAGGTGGTGACACTGCCTGGAGTGGGGCTGGACAGTACTTGAGAGGCTGAAGGCTCTCATGACGTTGGTGGTATAGAGAGTTGCTCCTCTTCTTCCTCCTTCTTTTTTAGTTTTATGTATTTGTTCCATGAGAGAGACAGAGATACAGAGCTCTTAAGAGGGACTTGATGCCACAATCCACCAGCAGCCTCAGCCCTAGATACATGGACATGTGTGCCCACTGTACTCAAAGAGATCTCCAGACCTGAACCCACAACCTTGCCATATAGTTGGCCTCACAGAACATCTCATTTTACTCACCATCTGGCCCAGGTTCAACTTTTTAACTGTCTTGTAGCTCTGACCCCAGAATGGGTAGTATTTTGGTGACTTGGGGTTAGAGAACAAGAATAAATTAAAAATGGAGTATGTATGTGTTCTGTATTTTGTGACACACAGAGAGACAGTAGGTAGACATGATTCAACTGGAGAAAGATCTTCTCATGTAAATAAAGTGCTTATTCAACCTGAAGACTACGAATCATTCATTGCATTTAGATCAACATGCATTTTCCAGTTTAAAAGGTGACAGGGAGGCTAAGGGACTGGGTCCCACTTGGCTGCCTGTGCAGATTGAGTCCTGGACCTGGTGGCTTGAAAATCACACTGGGTTCGTGTGTATGCATGCCCCAAATCCCAAAAGTAGACTGGAGGAGAAGGGATTATGGCGCGGCCTTCCCCACATGGAGTGATTTCTCACCTTCTCTTTCTCACTTTCTTTCTGTCAATGTCTAGCAAGTACACATGCCCTATAGCAAAAAGCTAAAAAACAAACTAGCAAAGGACCAGCAGTTGACCTAATGGCTATGTTGCTGGACTCCCATGTAGTTGACCACATTTCGAGTCCTAGACCCAGTGGCTTAAACTCATACCAGGCGCGTGTGCATGCCCAAGATCCCAAGAGAAGAATGGAGGAGAAGGGATTATGGCGTGGCCATCCCCCCTGGGGGGTGATTTCTCGCTTTCTGTCTCTCTGTCTCTCTTTGTCTTTCTGGCAAGTGCACACACCCTATAGCAAAAACCTCTTAAAAAAAAAAAAAAGCAAACAAATAAAACATGCATTTGCCAAAGAGCCAGGCCATAGTCAAGATTCATGGCCCTGAGTCTTCCCAACCCTTAAAAATTAATACCAGTTTGTTTTTGTGTTTAGGTCCTCAAGTATGTACCATATAATGAAGCACAGCCACTATATCTCCCGCTTCGGCAGCAAACTTGGGTTGCAGTGCATCGGTATGCATGAAAATGGTATCATATTTAATAACAATCCTGCCGTCTGGAAAGTGATTCGACCTTTCTTTACAAAAGGTAATTAGGTGCTTGACTATGTCCTGCTTTTATGTCTTGAGTGTGCCTTTTTTTGTTGAAATTGTATTTTAAATTCCACCATTTCAGTTTTGACAATAATAGGAAGAAGAACTAACATTTGTTATATGTTACTGTAGAGTTAGATATGATTCTTGTGCTAATTCCGTAGCAACCCCATGTGGTAAATATACCTGTCACCTCCATTTTTCGGATGAGGACATTGAGGTGTAAAGAGGTTAAGTAACTTGTCTGAACAGTGGCCCAGGGTGTAACCCCAGAGCCTGCACTGGTAGCCACCACAGAGGCTTGTCTTGCTGTGGATTTCGTGGATGTGAAGAAGAGACTGAGCTGTATACTTGAGATCATGTCCATGAAGAATGTTAGCCATAGATTTGCTTTAAACATGGCCAAACCATGTGTTTGCTAAATCATTAGCTGACAGTCCAAATGTGGTAATAGAAAGCAATTTGTGAATGAAATGAGAGAATTTTCGAACCAGGAAGGATATGTGTATAGATGTGTTGTCTCGTTCAATCTCTGAATTTTATAGTTGAGGAACTAAAGTCCTAGAGAGGTTATGATTGTCACCCAGGCAACATAGCAAGTAATGGATGAGCCAAGATCCCATTCCAAGCCTCCTTAACTGTGATTGTCCCCCTTTATTCTACCATGCTGGAAATGAAACTGTTGGGGAACACACATGTCCAACCTCTGACATTAACATCAAGGATGACAACCATGCCCTGGAAACCTTGGCAGTGATGGAATCAGGGCAAGACGGATTTTAGGTCTGATCCTGTACTCTTGTCCTTCCCTCCAGCCAGCCTCCACAGTGCACCTAGAAAGTGTACGGCTACTGAGACAGGACAGAGCTCTGTCTGTGCCCGCAGAGTGTCACTCTTACCCCTCAAGACAGCACAACTCTGTTGTAGACCCCAGTGTATCAGTATCTCAATGCTGCTATAACAAATTACTACAGACCAAATGGCTTAAAAGAACACATTTATTATCTAACAGTTCTGTAGGTCAAGTCTGACATGGGCTAAAATCAAGGCGCTGGCAAGCCTATGTTCCTTTTTCAGCTTAAGGGATTTTTCAGTTCCTGAGGCCCCTGTACTTCTTGGCTTGTGGCCTTCTTCTCCATCTCCAAATCCAGCAGCAGTGGGCGGGATGTTTTCCCCATTGCAGCTCTCTGCCCCTCCTCCTGTCATCGCGTCTCTCTGACTTTGATCTCTGCCAGGAAAGATGTCTTGCTCATAAGGACCCCTGTGATCAGGTTGGGCCCACCCTGATAATTCCCAGGAATCTCCATCTCACTGTCCCTGACCTTAATCAGTTCTGCCAGTCCCTTTTTCCATGTAAGATAATACACTAGAATATGTATAAATTCTGAGAATTAGGACCTGGATAACCAAAAGGCAATTAATTATTCAGTCAACCACTAATGTTGGGGCAGACTGAACTCCTAATACCTTATAAAACTGCAGAATGGATTAATGGGACAAGTGCAGGACTCAGAGTTAGAGCTTGTGGGTTTATGTCTCAGCACTGCCACTTACCAAGTATATGACTTTGGGCAAGTTACTTAGCGTCTCTGAGCTTCAGTTTCCTCATTCACAGAAGGCAATAAATATTGTAGAACTTGCATTCTAAGGCTATTACTTTAAAAAACGAAAGAATGCTGCAATATAACAATTAAGTCTAAGTTTTAGTTCACTTTTTCATTTGGTCCAGGTATACTAGGACCACATGAACTCATACTGAGGAGTAGACTTTCACATATCAGTATTTTCTGACATATATGAGTTACTAGAATCTCTAAGCGCTACTAAGCCTACTGTTCTCCTTATTGAACTCGTTGCCAAGAATATAATGACAAACAAGACATTGCCCCTGCTCTTGAGGAATTTTTAACAAGGGATGGGGAAGCTTGGTAAGGGGCAGAGCAAACATCACTAAATCTTGTCCTCGGTGATGGTGGCGTTAAATGTATGCACACAGTGATATGGAACACAGATGAATGGGCCCACTGAAGTACACTGAGGGGTTGGGGAGACTTCAGAAGAGTGGATGCTTAAGATGAGTTTGGAAATAAGGTACAAGCTGCTAATTAAGACAGTGTGACAAAGAGGTTCAAGAACTAAAGAATGAGATGCTCAAAGGCATAACATAGATATGACACATTCAAGAGCCTGTCAGTAGGCCTCGTGCCTGGCATAGATTGCTGGGATGAGACCAAGGAGCAGTCAGGGCCAGATCACCAAGCCCCCTTTGTTAAGTCAAGGAGTTGAGCTTATCCCAAAAGCAATGAGGAGACACTAGAGATTTTAAGTAGAGTGACATGAACACATTTGCATTTTAGAAAAATCTTTCTGGTACCAGAGTGAATGATTAATGGAAGTATGACTATGGGCAGTGAAAACAGTTAGGAGCCACTACAGTGACATAGGGCGAATGGAGGAGAGACTACCAGTATAAGAGATGTTAAAGACTAGAATCTACTCTCTTAAAAAAAAAAAAAAAAAGAAAAAGAAAAGAAAAGAAAGAAAGGGCCAGCAGGTAATATGGTGGTTAAGGCACCCACATGACCAACTGCAGTTCAAGCCCTGGACCCAGTGCCTTGAAACTCACGCCAGGCACATATGCATGTGTGCCCAAAATCCTGAGAAGAGAATGGAAGAGAAGGAGTTGCAGTGTGGCCAACCCCCTGGGGGGTGATTTCTCATTTTCTCTGTCTGTGTCTCTGGTGAGTGCACACAACCTATAGCAAAAATCTCTCTTAAATAAGTAAATGAACTAATAAATAAGAGTGGAATCAATAGTACTTATAAATTAAATTAATCAAAACATCCTTGTGACCTTATTAAGATTAACCCTATATATAGAAGATCAAATTTTCTAATAAAAATGCTACAGAGCTGGACCCAAATTAAATGTCAAAAATAGGGGGTTAATTGCTTATTGAAAGTTTACTGTAGTAACTGACATTTATATAATCGCTGAGAGTTCTGACTACCTTCTGATGAATCTCCTTCTAGAGTTAGACTCCAGGTTGGTTTCCTAACATGGTAGAAATCTTGGGACAGATTTTAGTATTGAAATCGGTAATATTGATAAAAGTATTAACTTATTGGGTGTATCTATGGATAGAATTGGGGCTGAGGGATGGAGAAATAGCATGTGTTTCCTGAAACCAGCAAGAAAATTGCTTGTATTGATGGAACTCTCTGATTTCTTGCTCAATTTTCTTTTGATCTGGATAGATTCAATCCTTTTTAAAAATTAAATCACATGGGGCCAGCAGGTGGTGTAGTGGTTAAGGCGCTGGACTCTCCCATGGCTAACCACAGTTCAAGTCATGAATCTAGCAGCTTGAACCTCATGCCGAGCATGTGTGCAAGCGTGCCCAAAATCCCAGGAGGAGATTGGAGGAGAAGGGATTTGGGTGTGGCCATCCCACCTGGGGAGTGATTTCTAACTTTCTGTCTCTCTGTCTTTCCCTGTCTCTCTCCCATGCACTCTCCATGAAACCTATAGCAAAAATCTCTCTCTAAAAAAATTAAATCATGTCTATATCATACCACTGCCTAAAGCAACGATAATTTATTTTGCCTGTAATTTTGACTATGGCTTCAAGCTCACAAACATAGAGGCAGCTCAGGTATCAACCTGAGAGAAAACCGCAGTGATGTTCAAAGCCAGCCCTTCCACACAAAGATCTGAGTCATTAGGGAGACGTTTGTCCCACGTGGGACGTGGCAGTCACTCAGAACCTTTCGTATCTTCCAAGTCCTTCCTATGGTCAGAAAGTGTGCTCTCAACCTAACCTTCCTTTTGATATATGAGAAAATCTTAAGAGTCTAGGGCCACTTCTCAGGCCTCCCTTCTAGTTTGCAAAGGCTGCTTTCAGGAGTGGGGTTCGGCAGCTTAACTGATTGATTATTTTAATTTTTTATAAGAGAATCTTATAATATGGAGTTAAGCCTACAAAGTTCCCCAGAATTTTTCATCTTATTTTAACAGCAAGTCTGAATCATAAAGGACATTAAAAAAAAAGGGGGAGAGAGATTGTTCCTCAAGGTAGCTTAAAGAAACTTAGAACAGGAGCCAGTAGGTGGCGTGGTGGTTAAGGGTGCTGGACTCCCACATGGGAGTACTGGACCTGGTGGCTTGCTTTCTCACTTTCCCTCTCTCACTCACTCTGTCTCTCTCTGATCAAATTATAAATTAAATTAAATAAATAAATAAATAGTTAAATTTAAAAAAAAAAAAAGGAGAGAAAGAAACTTAGAGCAGAGAACAAGGGAGACTCTAGGAGTAACCCTATGATGGACACTTACCATCAAGATCCTCAAGCCATGCTCAGATGGTCAGAAGAAGAACAAGGGCAACATTAGAGCAAATTAACTACCTATAGTCATTTATACATTCATTCATTCCTCTATTTGACAAATGCCTACCGAGGGCCACCCTGTACTCTTGACTTAAATATAATGCTAATAAGTGGTCACCATTGTCCTTTAAAAGCTACCAGTTCAGTGGTACAGGCTGCTGAGCAAACAAGGAATTGCTTAGCTGTTACTCCATTTGATTGAGTAAAATAAACCTGGAAATGGTTCGAAGAGAAAAGAGAAATCAAAATTCATATAAGGGCACCTTTGGTGACTTACAAGACTAGTGGGTTTTGTTGTTGTTGTTGTTTTTATTTATTTATTTATTCAAATTTGACGAGAGAGAGAGAGGGGGAAAGCAAGCCACCAGGTCTGGGACTCAAACCATGGCCGGTCATGTGGAAGTCCAACATCCTTAACCACCATGCCACCTGCCAGCCCCAAGACTAGCGTTTTATACATAGTAATCTACAATTAAACAGGAAGCACCTTAGATCAAATAGTGTAGGTCCGATCTGACTCCTTCTATAGTCATATCCTGCCACCTATTGAGACATGTGACTCTGGAAAATAGGACTCTGGCCAAAGTCAAATCATATTTAGAGGAAAATGTATATAATAAATATGAAAAAAATTGATTTGTGATTTGTGACTATGTGTACTGAATGTTTCATTTAGTCTCACGAATAATTTTCCAGAAACTGAAGAAAAGTTTCATTTTGAATAATTTATTTAAAATAATCTGTATCAATTCCTTTACGTATGCATTTATTTATTTTTAAGGTTTTTGTTATACGGCACATGTGCTTTCCAGAGACAGAGAGAGGGAAAAAGTAAGAACTCACCCCCTAGAAAGGATGGTCACACCACAGTTCCTTCTCCTCCATTCTTTTCTCAGGATTTGGATCACGCATATGCACAGGCACTGAGCGATTTTCAAACTGCTGAGCCCAGGGCTTAAACCTGGGCGACTGTGTGGGAATCCAGCACCTTAACCACCATGCCACCTGCTGGCCCCCCCACACATCCATTTGTAACTATAAAGCTAGTATATACTTACAAAAATTAGAAGAACATTGAAAAGTATAAAGCAGCATACGAACATTTCTGTCCAATTGTTGAATTAAAAAAAAAAAAACTGTGGGCAATTAAACTTTAAACACAAAAATCCAAAATAGTATGATTATTTGTATGTGCCCTTGAGTTTGTTATGGTCGTTTCTCTGACGTGTACCCTGATTATTTGTGTGTGCCCTTGAGTTTGTGTTGGGTAACTCTCTGATGTGTACTCTTTAGCTTTGTCGGGCCGTGGCCTTGTTCGGATGGTGGCCATTTGTGTGGAATCCGTCGTAACGCACCTGGACAGGTTGGAAGAGGTCACCAACACGTCGGGCTATGTTGACGTGCTGATGCTTATGCGGCGCGTCATGCTGGACACCTCTAACATGCTCTTCCTCGGGATTCCTTTGGACGGTACTGAAATTTTCATTCTCTTGCCTTGACTTTCTGTCCTTTATTGAACAAGGGGATGGGAGTGATGACAGTCTGAAGCAAACGTACTGTTTTGTAGGTTCTCTTATTTAAACATTTCTATGTACTTCTAAGGTTTTACTCCTAGTGTTTCTGCCTTGTTCACATATAAGATATAAATTTCATAAGGTAAAGGCTAACTTCAATTTTTTTTTTTAATTTCTCCTCATTCCTCTAGGAAATAAGATGTTACCCACAGTTGAAACTTAACAAATGTGATCTGTTCATTTGGTCATTAACATCTTACCACTAACCAAATGGATACCTTTAACCATTTTCAATCATTCCTTTTTGGTCAAGAAGCATACACACATACATACGTAGCCATGTATCCCTTAATGACAGGGATATGTTCTGAGAAATGTGTCAGTAGGCCATGTCACTCTATAATTGTGTGAACACCATTGACCGCACTTCCACAAACCTAGATCGAATAGCCTGCTGCTCACCTAGGCTATATGGTGTAGACTACTGGTCCTCCGGGACCACTGTTGGATATGTGATCCTTCATTGACTGAAACATCATGTGGGACATGACTGTGGGCATAACACACACACCACAAACACACACACACGCACACATCCCTCCCTCAAAACTAGTAAATATAAAATCTTGACTCTGTCTATATGATAAAGATGGTGGAACTGCTGCTGCAGATAAAAATGATGATGATGACTGCCATTAATTTTGTATCTACCATGTGCCAAAAAGGCGCTTTATGTACACATTTGCCATTTAATATTTATAACGAAACTGACAAACAAAATGTCTCACTCAGGAAGCTATTTTCCTCCCTAGGATACATAACCAAATGTTAAAACATGTGCACACAGCTCTACCACCAACCAACACACTTATTAATCATTTGGACTAATTCCATTCTACTGTTGACATTAAGCATGAGCAGCTTAACATGATGTGTCCTTAATCCATTTACAGCAGTGCTCATTGATTCATACATTATTCAATCAATATTTATTGATTGTTTTATACCAGGCCCTGCTCCAGTTTCTGGGGATAGAGCAGTGACAAGACAGAAAAAATTCTTACCTTCAGGGAGCTTCATTCCAGTGTGGGGTGTAGATAATCAAACACGTAAATACCTAGTAATGTTTTAGGCCATGCTAAGTGCCTTGAAGGAAAAACAAAGTAGGGTAAGAGGATAGAAACAAAAGGGTATCAGTGAAAGTGAGCACAGCCATCAGGGAGAGGGTGGACAGGAAAGGCATTGGCAGACAAGCTGAGCATAGCCTAACTCAGGTGTAGCCCTGAGCCACATACAGATGGAAGGAAGAACATCCTAGGCAGACAAAGCATCGTTCTAACATTTGCCAAAACCAATTGAGCTGTAACACATATTACCTTATTTCTCACGTTTGGGTAAAGAGACAAGCCACAAGCTCCCCACTCCCACCTTCCTCCCCTCCAACTCTCATTGTCTAATCTCTCCTACTCTAACTACTGCTTACAAGATCTGAGAAACTCCATCTGATTGCCGTTTCAGCGGGAGTCACTTCTTACGCTGAGAATTTTAGTCACACCCCGTCCAGACAAGGACTCTTCCACCCCAGTGCACTGGTTCTACATACATATTTTCTAAAGCTAGGTAGACACATATTGTACACGTCCCTGCTCCTTGGTCCTCCTCTAGCCTTGATTGTTAGAAAGGAGAATGTAAACGAAATTATACATAACTCTTTCTGTTCATTTATGGATCCAGACTGTGAGCATCACCATAACCTGTACAGAGGTATGCTTATTTCCCTTTCACCAAGTCCATATTAAACTCTCAATTAGCCTAAGGGACTCAGCGCACTAAAGTGGAAAGGACATTGTCCTCAAGTCAGACAAAGCTATAGTCCAGCATAAGGGGTGCCTGCCACACTGGCAGTGTGATATTGGGCAAATTCCCTTTGTCCACAAAAACAGGGATGAGTTGAAGGTTCAGCCAAAGGGTGAGACTATGGTTGAGTCTCCAACACAAACTTGAAAGACGGCAACTCCTGTTTAACTTGGCCAATTTAGGTGCCACGTAAAATAAATTACCTACTGGGATTCTCGTGGCTAAAACTTTGCCCATGAAATGAAGGTGGAGCCCTACTAAGCTTAGACCGCCACAGTAGTGGGAATATCTATTGGGAATGTCCTCTGCTCAGAGCATCCTTCCTAGGCTGACATTTTGCTCAACTGCTATGTGTGCACATATGTTTTTTTCTAGAAAATGCCATCGTGGGTAAAATCCAGGGTTATTTTGATGCATGGCAAGCTCTCCTTATCAAACCAGACATCTTCTTTAAGATTTCTTGGCTATACAAAAAATACGAAAAGTCCGTGTAAGTAACACAAGTTTGGAAGATTTATAAGTCAATTGTTTGTGTTTTTGTTGTGTCTTTGCTGTTATTGGCCTCCTCAGTGAATTTTCTGCTGTCCTGAGCTCCCAAGGGAGTTGTTGTTTAGATTGTTGATAAAATACTTTTTACAGCAATTTGGCTGCATTTTAACAGACCAAAGAGTAAGAGAAATCTTTGGCTGGGCACCTTCTTAGCAATGGGTCCAAGTGCATGGTCTGAGAGCTTCATCTCTGGAACCAAGACATTGCAGTATATTTTCATTGAAGAGGGTTGGCTGATCCTATCATTAATATCTGTTTAAATTATCTTCCATATATGGGAAAAATGAAGACAATCAATTTATAGCTATGTTGCTTCTGGATGATTTGAATATAATTCAACTTGTAAGAACTGATGGTGGTCTCAAAACAAATATTTTCTAGAGAATATAATGAATAAAATGTGTGATTTATATATACATATATGTGTGTGTGTGTGTAAAATGTGTTATGTGTTACGTGTTTGGGGGCTCCTAAAATTGCCATTTAATGCTTTTTTATCTTAATTTGTTTCATTGACTTTTTAAATAGTACTTTTATTCTCTGCCTCATTTATTTCAGCTGTAATCTTTACTACTTTTTTTTCTTCTGTACTGAGGGGAGAGTTATTATTACTTTTCAAGTTCCTTGATAAGTAATGTTGTTATTTATTTGCCACCTTTCTATTTTCTTCTTGTAAGTACTAATAGCTATGAACTTCCCTCTTATGACTACTTTTGCTATGTCCCAAAAGTTATAGAGCGTGGTGTGTTTATTATTATTGGTTTTAATGAATCTTTTTATTTCAGTCTTGATTTATTCAGTAGTTTGAAAAATTGTTCAACTATAGTATTGTAGGTTGTGTAGTTTTACATGTTTTTGTGTATTTTCAAGGGCTCTTTCGGTGGCTGATTTCTTTGTGGTCAGAGAAGATGCTGGGTAGCATTTCTAAACTTTTAAATTTATAGAGGCTTGTTTTGTGGCCTATAATGTAGTCAATCTTTGAAAATGTTTCATGTCAAGATGAGAAAAAAAAGTATAAAGTATATTTCGTAGTTGTGGGGTGGAACGTTCTATATATGTCTATATGTCTATTAGGTCCATTTTGTTTATGGTATCAATTAGCTCTTGTATAGATGACCTGTCCAGTGGTGACAGTGGGGTGTTGAAATCCTCAACAATTAGTGTGTTGCAGTCTGTATCTCCCCTTAGATATAGCTGTCTTTCTTTTTCATATTTGGGTGCCCTGGCATTGGGTGCCTAAATATTTATAATTGCTAGATCTTCTTGATGAATTAATCCTTTTAGAACTATGTAGTCTTTCTGACACTTAATGACTTTGCTCAGTTTTAATCTAACCAGGCAAAAAACTGGACAAATATCTAATGCCTACAGACTAATCAATGGAATTTTACACTCCAAGTAGCCAGTCCCTACATACTGCCACCTCCATGGGACCTAGAGGCAGACAATCTTGGTTTACATCCTTCCTTTGCTACTTAGTAACTAAATGATTTTGGAAAATTATTCAAGTAAAATATAATCTACTTTCTAGAGTGGGGATATAGGTTGATGAGATACTATATTAGCACAGAACATGGTAAATAATGGGCACTAAATATTTTAGTTTTCCCCTTTCGTCATCGTATTTTCCTGAGCTCTCCCAGATTATTTGAAATGATCCATATCTAAAAGTTACAAAACCTGTTTAAAGACCCCAATTTATCCTATGTTTGAATTGTGAAGTTCAATGATATTAGTTTCTAGGTAGGAAACAAACTTGGTGTTACTTTATATATTTTTGTGTGGCTGACAAGTATTAGGTGAATGATTTGGACCCTTGACTTTTATACATTTTATTTTATTTCTACCAGAACTTACTGTGACATGAATCAATTAGATAGAGTATTCTTATGTGATCATATTTGGTGGTGGTGGTGGTGTGAAATGTCTCATTTGTGTAGTTCTTGGTCATTAGTTTTGTGTTGGTCTTAGTTACCAGGCCTATAGAAACTTATTATATGAAACTATATGATTTCTTTTAGATTTCTACAGAATTTAGCTCTGCAACATTCCCTTCATTTATAACACTTGCTGATGGTTAGTGCACAGGAGTTTATACCGCCTATGTTCTAGAGTAATAAAGACTTAAAGAGATATTTTCATCTCTTCTTCCATACCCTTGCAAATGTCAATACTTTTCAAACACGCATTTATAAGCATAAATATTGAAACATTGACCCCCACATTTATTGTTTTATATTTTTGGCTCTTTTAATTCCAGATAATACACAAGTATTGCTTTCTACTTTTTTTATTTTGGCAAATTTAAGGCTTTTTCACACAAAATACTCTATATAGATGTTTGTAGGCTAGACTAGTAACCTACCCATTATTGTTTTGTTTGCAAAATGTACTCAGCATTCCAAGCAGCAGACTCACAGATGCATTCATATAATACATGTTGTAAGTCAAAGACATTCTATTACCTGAAAACTGTCATTAAACTCAGTTCTCCCAGTTTTGAAAGGTGTATAAATTAAGATGTATAAATGTATACATCTACACCAATGGGTGTAGAGCCAACTTTTAACTTTACAAGAGGGATCCAAATGGGCATTTACAGGCTGATGATGAAAAACTTTGAATTTTGACCCAGGGAGAAAATACTCTTCAACATCAATGGCTTCAACTAAAGTAGATCATTTTATCAAAACAAATGAAAAAATTAATCAGTTGTATTAGCTGTCTAAACTGAGTACAAATAGACTATATTTTGACTTTTTTTTCCCCCAGCAAGGACTTGAAAGATGTCATAGACATTTTAGTAGAAGAAAAAAGACACAGAATTTCCAAAGCAGAGAAACTTGAAGATTGTATGGATTTTGCCACTGAATTGATTTTTGCTGAGGTACTGAAATGGACTAACCATAATTCCCCTATAGCATATGTTATGACTCTTTGCATATACGTGTGTAATGATCACCTGTTGTAATTGTTGCATGTTTATGCTTTTAAGTATTTTCTGTAACAGCTCTATAATACCCAGCCCAAATATCCCACATATTAGCTATTCTAGTATGACTAACCGTTATTCTGTCCCAATACAACATGGGAAGACAAAGAGAGACCAAATGCACTAAATACATAGAAAGCTGGCTTAATTGTTCATCTTTCAACTTCCAGTCATGTAAAATGTTCTTAGACAATAATAGACACATCATTTCCATTATTTTATTTTGTTGAGGTTGTTGATTTTTAAGTGTCACCTCCCCTCACTCTTTGAAACTTTGATTCATTTTACCAATTTTTCTTTCTTTTGGTTGTTCAGAAACGCGGTGATCTAACCAGAGAGAATGTGAACCAGTCTATACTGGAAATGCTGATTGCTGCACCTGATACCATGTCTGTCTCTGTGTACTTCATGCTGCTTCTCATTACAAAACACCCTACAGTTGAAGAGGCAATAATGAAGGAAATCCAGACTGTTGTTGGTAAGAATTTATTAAATAAATAATAGAACTTTAAAAACAGGTTTTTTTGACCCAGACACAGTAATACCTGCTGGTAGATGCTGTCACTCAGCAGACTGAGGCCACATGGGGTGGTGGGGGGAGAAGGAGGCCATAAAGTTTGATTCCCAGCCCACCCTATAAGCCAGGTGCAGTGGGACACATCTGTAATTCTAGTTATTCAGAAGGCTGAGACAGGAAGACTGTGATATGGCAGGATCCTATCTAAAAATACTAAAACAAACAAACAAAAAAATTACTTCTGCTCACCCTCCCCCATTTCCTACCCTCCCCCCACACTGTATCTAATATTTATTACCTTTGTAATTGTTGCATGTTCCTGCTTTTAAGTATTTTTAAGTAGCAGTTCTATAATATAAACAACTATATCTTCCAATCTTTCTGCTTTTGCCATAGATTGTAGACATTTGGTATATATTAAGTGGGGACATACTGTGTCTCTCTTTCATAGTCTGGTTCACTTTACTCAGCAGTAAATCTTCCATATTCATCCACTTTCTGTCAAATACCAGGGTCTTTTTCTTTTTTATGACTGAGTAGTATTCCATAGGGAATCAAGGAGAAAAATAAAGAAGCAAAACACTTAAGGGGCACAAAATGGAAAATTATCCATTGATGATAATGTGTATGATGACATATTTAACTGAACTAATATACAGTGTATTCATACTGGGGAAATTCATTTTACAAGCTGTATTGATATACAGTGATTGAATTATAAAATATTTTTAAATAAAAATAAAAGAAATTTTTAAAAATTAAAAGAATAGATTTTTTTCCTATTTTTACAGGTATCAAGAGAGATATCATATGATATGTGCTTTTCTCTATTGACCTTCAACAGTCCCTGCGAAACAAGTTATTTGGTTGTAGAAAGGCACCGCTTTTTAAAACCATTTTGAGTGCTGCTTGAAGCCATTGGCAATAAGTGGAAGTTCATAGCAGGGTTAAATATGTGAAAGAAGGGGTCTGTAGATGTGCCACATTGGTAGGAAATTGCCTGGCACAGTAGAGAGCAAGAAGCCAGAAAAACATCTGGACTCCAAAGTCTAGAATATTTTCTCAAGTGCCTCCATACTGGTTATCAGGGCCTATGCCAGGTGCAGCAAACAAGCCATGCCATCTCTACACTTACATGGGGCTCATGGCTTAGGGGGAGAAAGGGAACTGAATCAGCTCAATAGAGAGAAGAGAAAGAGCGCCACAAAAGGATGGAGTTCATGAAACAAGGAAGAATTTTGATTCTGAGACTCTAAGCATTTAATACAATTTTAATACAATTTTCTTGAGAGGTTAAAAGAATTTGTGCATCTCGATGTCCCCCCAGTTACTTCATCAGACTTCTGCAAACATGTGCATTTGCACATGTGTCCATGATCTCTCATGTGTTCCATACACAAATTTGGTAATTACTTCTTAGTGAACATCTTTGGTCACCTTCTCCATCTTCTGTCCTTTTACCTTCCCACCACAGATAGACCTCATTTGACTCTGGAACGTACAAAGAGCAGTATGTAAGGGGAAGGGCTATTAAAGAGTTATGCCACCAAACTAGACTGTTCCTGAATGACTTCATTATACAGGAAATGGTTTCATCAGGACCATTGGCTGTTTTTGACTTTGCAAAATTGGCAGCTCATTTGAAAATACTCATTAACTTTGCCAAGCCTGGGAGTAATCTGAGTTTCTTTAACTAGCGTCAGGTCAATCTGAGACAATGGGGGTGTCCATCATTCCCCAGCTCACCTGGGGCTGATCTGAGGCACCTCTTTCACAATGGTGGAGAGAGGTGAGTTCCTACCACTCTGCTGCAACAGATAGTTCTTGAAGAGATGTGAAGGGACTGTCAGTGAAACATTATAAACAGGCAACCAGCGGAGACAATTTCATTGAAATAGATTTAATTTACCTTCTTATTTTAACTATGCATCTTTGGATGGTTGTGGTGCTAGTTTGCTCACCAATCAACAGGGAATGAATGAATGTCCTCTAGAATTGAGAGCAGGGGACAAAAACTAAGACTACAGAGGCCAGGCAGATAAGATTAATGTTGGAAGCAGGCTGGGTGTGGTCTACATGGAACTGCAGAGTGTGCACCCTCTCTAAAGGGAAAATCGGTCACTTAACTTTTGCCTATTGCTGCCGTGTGGGAATGTGAGTTTAATGTTGCCAAATTCTCTGATTTTTCTGGAAATTCAAGCTTTTCTATGAAATCATCTGGGTTTTAAGATCATTGTCTCCACATCTGAATTTTTATAAAAATACCCTGCAGATCAGATATAACATTTTTTAGCCCCGGTTGCTGGTATGCATTAGCATTATAGACATCATTTTTTTTTTCAACCAAGAGCAAACTGTTCTGTGGAAAAAATAGAAGCTCTAATGCTCATCGCATATTGAAATTAACATTACCTTCTTTGTCCTGTTTATCTGTTCCCACAGGTGAGAGAGACGTAAAGATTGATGATGTGCCAAAATTAAAAGTGACAGAAAGTTTCATTTATGAGAGCATGCGGTACCAGCCTGTCGTGGACTTGGTCATGCGCAAAGCTTTACAAGATGATGTGATTGATGGCTACCCAGTGAAAAAGGGGACTAACATTATTCTGAACCTTGGAAGAATGCATAGACTCGAGTTCTTCCCCAAGCCCAATGAATTTAGTCTTGAAAATTTTGCAAAGAACGTAAGAGCCCTTCCTTAAAATTGGGTGTGCCACTCTTGATTCTGTCAGCTGCTAAATCTACTCTGGTTCTGCGTGCGTGTGCCACGTATATTTCATTCTTTTAATCATTCTCCTCTTCCACCTCACGAAGAGCACATGTCCCCTAGCTTGGAACATGGCTACCACACTCGTCCTCCCCAGTCAAGGATGTAGGTCTCCCATTCTGGAAAGTATCCACATAGCGGCCCACATACAGATCAAAAGATGAAAAATCCAATTCCTTGATTTGGGTAAAAATCAGTCCAAATTTATTTAGCCCAACAACCTAATTTTCCACTTAAACATATTGCTTTATCATCGCACAGATTCCACTGTAACATCATCTAAGCAAAGAGGTGTCCTCTTCTGTTTTGGATGGAAACCAAATGAGATCAAAAGATTTGTCTTTTCCATTCTACCTTTGGTTCATCAAATGGTGTCATGAGCACTAAGTTTCATTCTAAATAGGTCTCAATAGTTAAAACAGATGCAGCATTTTCTTTCTCTGTAACTGACATATGCAGAAGATTCTGCCTCCGTTAGGTCAAACTGTAGGCAACAGTGTTTTTAAACTCAAATCCTCTAGATAGCTCCCTTAGTGCCCTCTCTTTGCACTTGGATATAATGTAGAAACATGACAGTAACTAATTCAAATAATGCCATGCAAATCAGTCAAGTTCACAAAAATTTATTGAGAACCTACTATAAGCCAGGCGCTATGGGAGTCTGGATATGGATAAGAGAAGCATTTGTCAGACTCATTAATTTTCTCTATAACCAAACACAGATGCCTGGCACTGATGGTTCAGGAATCCACGTCTTTGCCTGCATCTGTCCCTTTTCATCAGGTTGTATTGCACCACATGGAAACAATCTTTGGTTTAGTGGCTTATAAAATAGCAGTAAAGCTGTAGCTATTCCACAGAACTGATACTGGCTATACTAAAATGATTTGCATTGCTTTACTCCCACACAGTAACATAAAAGCAAACGTGGGGACTGTCTGGGATTGGATATGTATCACAAGGGCTGAATCAAACTGGATGGAGAAAGGGGATCATTTGATTTACATTCATCTCAGTGAAGGAGCAGTATGACTGAGACCCCAGAATAGAGGCTCCTGATTGACCAGTGTTTTCAGAGTGAATCAAACAGACTATATGACTCTAGCCTTTAATACTCTGACTAATTGTCTCATCATTTTCATAGGTTCCTTACAGGTATTTTCAGCCATTTGGTTTTGGACCCCGTGCCTGTGCAGGAAAGTACATCGCCATGGTGATGATGAAAGTCATCCTGGTTACACTTCTGAGACGATTCCACGTGCGGGCATTGCAAGGAAGGTGTGTCGAAAACGTGCAGAAAGTACATGACCTGTCCTTGCACCCAGACGAGACTAGCAACTTCCTGGAGATGATTTTTGTCCCAAGAAATTCAGACAAGTACCTCGGTAACTAAAGAAGGTTGCTCAGTACCTACTGGGGAGCGTTCCTCATCAATAGTTCTCATAGAAACCCTCCATCCTTGCCAGATCGTATCATCCTCGCAGTGAACATTCGGTGGCCTGTGGCATGCTATCAACATGCCTTGTATAGGTTGTCAGCAAGATGGGAGCTCTCAAGTCACCCAATTCTGTCCAAACCAGAGAACCAGGATGTAAGAAGAAAGACAAAGGTCAAAGTTTATAGAGGAAATGATCTGAGAAGACACTGAAGCCCTAAAGACCCAATTCCACAAAGCACAATTTGGAAAGGATGGGCCAGCAGCAAACCTGTCTGGTTTCCCTCTGTATCCTTGCTGCCCTGCCCTGACAACATTTAAATGTCCAGGGTAGAAGAACTTGCATTGATTAGAAAAGTCACATCAGCATCTGGGCACCTGGGGTCAAACACACCTGCTAGTGTGGCTAAAGGTGCTTATTTTGTTTTTCAGTAGGAGTGGGACAGCAACATTCAAGTATTTACAAATTCAGCATTGAGTTGTCCTATGAATTATGCCAGTTAGCTCCTATTTATCCACATATGAGCAGAGAATGTCCCTTCCCTTCTCAATTCATCCCTTAGCTACTTACCTCTGCTCTGCTAGGTATAGATTCAGGTAATACAAGCTAACTTATTCATAGTAATAGCCTGAGTGAAGGATAGTTAGGTTCCTATATCTGCTATAGGGTAAAAAAAATACGATGCATTTCAAATTCAAATTAAAAAAATCCTTTTGGCATGATTGCATTGTTGCTTAGCTCTATTAGTGTGGGTAAGCAAGAGATATCTTTAATGGGTGGCATCTATGAGCTCTCACACCACCTTAGTGACTTGAGGGAGAGACAGTCCTCTAACTCTGTTCTACAACTCAATGGGTTCAAATGATAGAGTGCTCCTCTCATCCCATCATCCTTCTTGCTCAACATTTTCTTCCTCTCTTCCTTTCCATGACCCCAAAGGCCAAGAGCAATGATCAGATAAGAACATGGTCAGGGTAGAGCCCCTGCAATCATTTTTTTATCCTACCTCAGATTTGTTACCTTCAAAATTTAACAATAACCTAGTTCATTGAATCATTGTATATAGCCGTTGGTATAATGCTTGTCTTGGAATTAGCTCTCTAGAGGGAATCAAATAAATGGATTGATTTTCCAAACACCACTTCATTTGTATTGTATTGCCAATATGACTATGTCTCTTGAGTAACTTTTTTTTTAGTGACTGAAAAATTAGGCTCATGTATAAAATAAGTAAATGTTTGCCGTTGAGTCAATAAAAATTTAACAATAACCTAGTTCATTGAATCATTGTATATAGCCGTTGGTATAATGCTTGTCTTGGAATTAGCTCTCTAGAGGGAATCAAATAAATGGATTGATTTTCCAAACACCACTTCATTTGTATTGTATTGCCAATATGACTATGTCTCTTGAGTAACTTTTTTTTTTAGTGACTGAAAAATTAAGCTCATGTATAAATAAGTAAATGTTTGCCGTTGAGTCAATAGTCATCTCATTGTGTTTGTATGTTCTTTTCACCCTACTGTGTAGCACTAAGACAATAGCTAAGCATGCAGTCAAAGTGTAAGCCCTTGAGAACCAAACTATTTTCTTATATAATTCATCCCTATCCCTCGATTCAAACTCCCCTTTATTCTCCAAAGCCATTCTGAATAGACACACCCACTCCTACATACTTTCAACTGACTCCAGATATCAAGTAAAGAAGGGGGGAAGGGAGTATTCTAAGAATTCAAGGATGGTCGTTAGCAAAGAGGCAAACATTTGAACTTGAAATCACTTGTTTCATCTATACAGTCTAAAACTATGTGAAATATGCCTGTGTACCTGAATATATCTGTAGTCAGATCTAGATAATCATCCTAATAATTTAGACCCCTGAAAGCAAGACCAGGATTTGAAATTTAATGTGTCCAAGTTAGTTCACTTGGTAATTATGAATATGCTGTGTACATTCCTTCTGGCTGGAGCTCTGTGGCTGAAGAAAACAGACTGGGGATCAGTGACTTCATCCATCCAATACCCTTGGAACATCTGTGTGTATTTCATATGTGCATATGTAGCCAAGGCCTATGTCTACAGAGTCAGAGTACAATGGAAGGTTGAAATTACACACATGCACATACACAAATATGCTGTGGACACCTGAGAGTTAGGGAGTTGAGGGACATAGGGAATACAACAAGAGGGAAGTACAAGTTTGAATGACCCAAGCAAGCTCCGAATCAAATTATTAGGCTAACTATTTAACTTTTCACTCTTCTTAGCCTGTATAGACAAACTCCATATATTTGTACAGGCTTGGCCTAAGAGATTTGGAACACTGTTGGCTTTCCAATAGGTTGATGAACATATATTTTTAAATCTATTATCTCTTCAGAATTTTGCCTCATTGTTCAGTACTAAATTGCCACTCTCAAATGTACTGTGGGTTCTATTTTCACCAGTTCTCAAAGAACTGGAGTGTTTAAGAGATTACTGAAATACATGAATACAAGGGCTCTATCACTGGCAAATTGTGAGGATGATTGTACTCTCCTATCTTCAGGGGTACTGGACACCTCTTTTTTTTTTCTCTCTTTTTTTGGAGAGCTCTTTGTGATAGGATGCATAGGTTCACCAGAGAGACTGAGTTACAGAGACATAAAGCAAGAAATCACCCCCCCCCTCCAGGGGGCATGGCCACACTACAATCTCTTCTCCATTTTCCTCTTGGGATTTTGGGCACTCATGCACATACACCTGGCATGAGTTCTAAGCCACCGGTCCAGTACTCAAACCACAGTTGACTACATAGTCTAGCAACGTAACCATTATACCAACTGCTGGTCCCCAGTGGACATCTCTTTATGATTTCCTTGAGATCCTACTTTTCCCTCTTCTGAGTGAAAAATCACATTCAGAAAGTCCTCTAATTATTGAGAAATGTCATTTGGAAACTGTCTCTTTTTTTTCCTAGACAGCACTGTTCAACACTCATGGTGCTAATATTCCACATAGGGGGGAGGCTTTAGCCCATAGAAAGAATGATAGTTGGGCCCTCTTTAACTCCTCTCTCAGTTAGGCTTGTGGACTGAACCTTTTGCCTAAACTTGCAGAAAAACTCTCTAAATTAAACTTGGTCAAAGTGATGAATTGAATGGAATTTGATACTTTTAAAAGCACTTAACTCCAAGTCAAGGGCTTAATCCTTCAGGGCTCAATCCAGTCAGGCTTAGCTGAGTGAACTCCCTCATTCCTTTCTGTGGCTTTTAGCAGGAGTTGACTCAAGGGAGTAATGGCCATAACCATGTTTCTGTCGGGCAAAGGAAACAAAATGCCTTTTGATAGGACAACCTATTCATCAAACCCAGGACCCCTGAGTTTATACTACTCCCTCTCATCAAAAAATCATTTCAAAATGCAAAGTCCATGAGAATGATAAGAATACAATGACAAGAGTTATCCTAAGAATAACACTGAATCTAATTTATAAACTAAAGTAAACGTTTCACAAATCTCAATGTTTTCGGTTTCGGAGGTTTGTTTGATTTTGGCCAGAGGGGATGTGCGCTTGCCAGAAAGAGAGAGAGAGAGACCCAGAGAGTGGAAGAGGGAAAAAGCACCTCCTAAGGGGACATAGTCACATCACAGTCATTTCTCCTCCATTTCTCCATCCTGTTGGGATTTGGGGCACAAACACACGCATACCTGGCATGCTTTTCAAGCCACTAAAGCCTTCACAAACTGCATGGTTGGCTATGTGGGATCTAGTCATGAGCCAGCCCAAACCTCAGCATGTTAACTTACTGGTTAAATGTTGCTTGCAGTAAAGGTCTTGTATTACAAGACATAGATGTTGAGGGCCTGTGGTCCAGGTGGTCATTAGAGTTCCTTTCAGCTCTATGACTCTGAAGAGGGAAGCCATGAAACCCTAAATCTGGGATCAGTCTGTTTGAAACTATATGCTTTGGACAAGTTGTTTAGTCTCTCCCACCACCCAATGTGGATAATAATTACCTCATAAGGCTGCTGTGAAGATTCCAAGAGATAATTTATGTGACGCTCTTTAGCACAGTGCCTGCACACAACCACCTCTCATAAGCTCTGTGCATGATAATGATGCTGTTCCATAATTGGGCTGAGTCACGATCCCCTCAAACCTCTTTTCCTGCAGTACAAATGGCGACAGATGTGCCAGATGCTTCCATTATCTCCCATGGAGCTTCATGACAACTGTACTTGTCTGCCCAGTAATCTCCATGGTGTATTGATGAGACGACACAGGCCCAGAGAGTTTGGGGGGCTTATTCCTATGCACTGATCTACTAAAGGAACAACCTGGATTCCAGTCAATCCCTCATTCCAAAACTCTTGTCCCCTTCACTGTGCCATCTCTTCACAACACGACGAAGCTAGAAGACTAGTGGCCCTGTCTGTTTCCAAGGTCTCCGGCCATATGATGCTGAGTCAGTCCCTCTGGGGGACTGCTCCTCCCGCATTCCATTACCCAAGGAGTTTGTGGCAAGAAATAGCTCAGTCTTTTCATCCATTTCAAATGAATAGTTCCACCTATTATAACTACTTCTAATATGTGTCTGGCGGATCTGTCCCAAGAGTCTAGAAAAGAACTTAAAAGTTCACTTTACTATAAGATGGTACTATTAAATGTGTGTATTCCAACAGTTGTAGCAAATAGGGATAAGATTCCACTTGAGTATTACCTAAGCACTAGGAAATTTTCAGTTTTGTACAATTCTGATTCATTTCAGATGCAGTTACTGTTTTAAAAATATGGACTATAAGGACCATAGTGGTTACGGTGTTGGATTCCCACATGGTCGACCATGATTTGAGTCTCAGACCCGGTGACTTTCAACTCACACCAGGTGCATGTGAATACATGCCCAAAATCCTGAGTGGAGAATGGAGGAGAAGGGATTGCAACATGGCCATCCCCCCCAGAGGGTGGTTTCTCATTTTCTCTTTCTGTGTCTCTGGTGAGCACATGTGCCCTATAGCAAAAAACTCTCTAAAAATAAAAATAATGCAATGTACATTTGAAAATAGTAACTTAAAGCATAAGTAAGAATCAAAATGTTATTCTATCTTCCAATAGAGGTTTCTGTAATTTCCATGGAATTGCACAAAAGAACTATAGGCATTAGCAAGCTAGGCCTGTGAATGGAGAAGGAAAGGATATGGGACCTTCCTTCTCCTCAAATGATACCACTCCCTCACCCTCATGTGAAGCCAGTCCTCCCTCTACAGCGGTGCTTAGGATGCAAGGGTTCCCAAATTGAAATGTGCATAGGAGCCAGGCAGGCAACAAATGAGATGATCAGGTC